TTGATAATCATAATATCAATAAGAATGATAACAATATCAATATTAGTAGTATTGGGAAATAAAACTCATTTTCTTGTCAATTCTACGAATGGAGAAATCATGATCAGTCAACTGATAGACTCCTTGCTGCTGAGCACACGTGGCGCCATCTATATGTAACAAAACTCACTAAAATCTGAAGGGGCCAGTAAATAAACCCGCTGATATTGGGTTAAACACATTACAAGAATCGGTGAAGAAGACGAAAGAAAATGGAGCACCGAAGAGGGAAACTTAATTGTTTTCTACGGCTCATAAGCAGCTGTTACGAGTAAAGAATAAAGGTACAGAGCAAATGTGCAGAACCTCAAGTAAAGTGGATGGAAATCGCATCTTAACTGATCATCATATAAGAAAAACATGTAGAGAACGAATATAATTGAAAGAATATAAGAACATAAGACAGCACGAGAAACCGAATGCATATTGAAGTCAGTCAGCACAAAATATTAAAGTTCGATTCTAGAATGGTGACCCTACTTACAAGCCAAGCGACGATCCACGTGGCCTGGTGCGTCTTCCCTGGTGCTGTTGTTGCCAGCGGGAAGGAAAACAAGGATCACGTTGACACACCTCAACTATCTTCCTATATACTTCAAAAATATCAAGATCCATGATAGATACACCATCGATTTCCTTAATGGATTGAGGAGGACTTTTCTCCTTACCTGGTTTGGGAGCTTGTGAACCATTACGATTCTCATTTTTGCTCTTTTCTAATCTGGTAAGGTTCCAGAGTGACAATATGTGATGTTCCATAGGGATTGGCCAGGGGATTGCGAATGTTGTCAGGGAGAGAGCAAGTTCTTTTTAAATTTGTAGTAATCATACAAATTAGAAATCTTCCTTTCCTCACCCCCCACCCACCATGGAGTCCAACGAGGGGAAGCTATAGTTGGGGCTCAAATTTTCCCAACAGCCACAGGGGTAGTGAGGAAATATACACAGTCACCATTACAGTGCTGATGGTAGTCCTATCTCCTGGTAATACGGGACGCCACGCACGGCAGACACACGTGGGAGAGTTCTCCCTGGTCCAAGATGGAATGAACCAGGGGTGGGTGCACCATCCCCTCTCATAGGCCTTGGTGCACCTGGAAGCCATTTTGTCTCATCCCTCACTGGTGACCCCTCCAGTATGGGTAGCCCTCTGGTCTGGCTCACCAGATCATTAGGACCTCAAGCCCCCCACCGCGGCAAGGCGGCTTCCGTTAGGGGGGTCCAAGTACTGAGGCTCTCGCTCTCTACGAAAAATAGTGACTCTTTCATCCATGTTTCTTTGGCAACTGTAGAGTCGCTCGCACAGTTTTATAATGATGAATGACGATGAGGGTATTGGTAACTATAATTGTGATGGTGGCGACGTTGGTTATGGGGAATTTGATGCATGCAAAATGACGTACCGTAAAATTTGTTAGATACTTCATGAGCATTTCACTTGTTTTTTTCTGTTAATTCATTCGATACTTTGTATACATGACCTCGAAGTTTTTTTATGAATGAATATTAAAAACTACGTTATTTTTATTCCTATTATTGTATCTTATCCATGAATGTATCTATAAATATTCCCTCTCACATGTAAATATTATAATTATCTTTTGTTATCTTTTACACAGCCCTTATTGTGGGAAAAAAACAATCAGCACCCAAAGGTCTCCCCGCACCTCTACGTAAGTGTGCTTTACAATCAGGAATTGAGTTAATACTTGCATGATTCCCGAGACTTTCTTACTAACTACATTCTTCCTATTGAAGCAATAATTTTCATGAGATACAGCTAAACCAACGAGCTCATCCCAGTCCGAATTTGAAGTTAGGTGGGTGTGAAGAAAGTATAACTAAAACAAATTTGCCAGATTGTCTTTGTTTAGATCCATTGGTTGTAGATAAATATATGCAGTAAGTTATGGTCTTGACATTCCTTCCCTTACTTCTAAAAGGTAGCCCTCCATAAGGTCTGTTTCTAAATTGGTATCTTCTCAAGAACAACGTTCAGCTTCCCCTTTCTTGTAAATATGTACAGACTGGGCTGCACATAACTATCGGAAGTTGCAACTCCCCTCAGTCTGTATTCCCTAACAAATCCGTCACATCAGGGTATCCTTTTCAAGGACAATCATCTCAGAATTCGGGAGAAGAAATGAAATGGATTGTTCCTTATCCATCAAGCCTTGCAAGATTCTCTAAGATTTCTCCCCCTCCAGAAGTCTTGGGTGCAGGACATTTCTAATACTGTAATTGGGGGATTGTGAGAACATGAGAACTTAGCATCTGGTACACCACGTGACACGCAAACACAATAATTACATTATAGGGCTAACATATTTCTTGTGGAAATGTGTGACTTGCAGTGGCAAAATTTGACTACTTTGTGAACATCAATAACTTCAAGGGTGACGGTGGATACATCATTAAAGATCTTAACCTATTTATATGGTATGCTTTCTCAATTATTAGTTATAATCTCAGTAATGTATACTCGGCGTTTTTTTCTCACCTGTTTTGTGAACTTTTTTGAACCTACTGAAGGTTCCAAAATAGCAAATAGTGAATTAAGAGATAGTCAGTTTTGCTCGATTCATTAGGGGAAGTGGTAGTCTGTTTGGACTTTGTATTAGCAAGGCAAATGAATCTGAATTTAATACCATCAACCCCACATCATGAAGTCTGCCTAGGAGTAACTGGGTATCAGGCTACAGCAGTGGTTCCAAACTGGGGCCATGTTGCAGAGGATATGTAAATATAAAACCAAAGGAGTTTAGTGGGTAGGCAACCAATGGAGGATACCTACAAGTTCAATATAGGTTTGTGCAATGTTTGTGCCAGGCACATGAGTAATATATCCATTTTTTGTTTGTGGAATTGCTTTATTTTAAATGATTATGTGCTTTTGACATAAACCAGGACATCGATGAGTATTAGTGTAATAAATAAATCCATCTTAACATAATTCTAAGGTTTCCTAAGCTATATTCTCTCGGAGGATGATCGACTGCCTTTGTTGTCGGGGGAGCTGGGGAGGCTGGGGATTGCCATCGCTGCTCTTTCTGAGGTGCGACGGCCTGGTAGTGGTGAGACTAGTAGTGGGGGTTATACCTACTACTGGTCTGGCTGTAGCAATGGTGCGCGCCTTAGAGGAGTCGTGGTGGCTGTCTCTGACCGCTTCCATTCCTCAGTCTAGAAGGTTACCCCTGTTGACGAGCGTATTCTGCTTGTGAGAATGAAGCACACTTTGGGCTTCATATCTAGCAGTTTACGCTCCTACTGAGGGAAGTGGGCTTGAAGAGAAAGAGATGTTCTATGCCAAACTTGACTTTATAGTGGATCAATGTCCCCGGGAGGACACCCTCATGGTCTTGGGGGACTTCAATGCAGTCACTGGCACTGCATCGGTCCCTATGGCTCTGGTACCAGGAACATCAATAGCTCATACCTCTTAGACTTCGCAAGATCTAGGAGGCTGAGGATTGCGGGCTCGTGGTACCAGAGACGAGATCTACACCGCTGGACTTGGTACTCCAATACTGGCGTTGTAGCTAAAGAGATCGACCATATTCTCGTGGATACTCGCTGGAGGATCCTTCAGAACTGTAGAGTTTTTAGGAGTGCTGAGTTCTTTGCTACCGACCACAGACTTGTCGCAACACTAAGGCTCCGCCTCAGATCTAGACGCATCCCGAGATATCACCAGCAGGTGTTTCATCTCGAGAGGCTCAAGAGTGAGGAGGTGGCTCAGGAGTATGCAGTGGCAGTCTTAAATCGGTTTAAAGTGCTTGGTACTCTACAGGACCCTGCTGAACTGTGGGATACCTTTAACCTATTCGCGCTGGGTAAAGATGAACAAAAATGGGGAAAATGCTGTCTCTACACTAGATGGCTCTGCCTTACCTGATTTCACCTTTCCTTGAATAGGTGGGAAAATGTATTTTTACTAGGGCTATGAATATCGATAGTTATTTTTATTATAAACATTATAATTACTATAATGTTATGAACATTAGTAACAGCAATATAAGGTAACGTAAAATATTTTCGTAAATTAAAGAAAAGGGTAAACAGGCGAGACAGGCAATACAAGAACAAATGTAGCCATCTATGTGTAAAAACAATGAAACAAGTAAACTCACAGTAGGCACGTCACGTATACGTGACACCCGGCGCGAATGGCCGAGGTGTGCCTTGGGGTCCGACCTCGGCGACACTGACCAGTAGAGATGAGTCGTGCTGCCAGACTGGATGGGAACCATGTCTTGCACAGGGAGCTGTCTCGCTCTGCTAGGGCCTCTTTGAGAGTAGACCAATAGAGGTACATTAGAGTTGGAAGGTCATTTTGCCCAAAATGACCTTCGCCCTGCTTTCCGAGCCCTGAGGGAACTCCGATCAAAGTCCATCTCTCAATTGGGCTCGGTGAGGGCAGAGGATGGCCGCATTGTGTCAGAGCCGGGTGAGTATAGGCCCCACTGAGTACTTTGAGCAACTGTACAGGGTAGATCCCCCGTCTTCACAACTCCCGTTGGCTGGCACACAGCCACTAGTGGCTGATCCACCAATCAGTGAGGCACCACGTTCCATCGAAGAGCTGAGAGGTGCAGTCTCTAAGATGAAGAGTGGAAAGGCTGCTGGTGTCTGTGGGATTGCTACAGAGTTGTTGAAGGTGAGTGGAGAAGCTATGATTCGTGGTTTGCATGCAGTCCTGTCTGCTGTTTGGGAGACTGGTACCATTCCCCCTGACTGGAAAAGGGGCTTGGTCATCCTTATCTGGAAAGGGAAAGGGGATCAAAAGGACTGTGGCAACTACAGAGGTATTACATTGCTCAGCGTACCAGGCAAGGTCCTTGCCCATCTGCTCTTGGCACGAGTGCGCGACCACCTATTACGAGCACAGAGACCTGAGCAGTCTGGGTTTACACCCAAGAAGTCAACTATAGATCGTGTCTTAACACTTCGTGTCCTTGTGGAACGCCGACTTGAGTTTCAACAAGGTATGCTTGCAGCTTATGTTGATCTCAAGAAGGCTTTCGACTCAGTGCACCGGGAGAGTCTCTGGAGCCTACTGGGTCTCCGTGGGATCCCCCCTGGAATTATTGGTTTGCTGTCTGGTCTGTATACAGATACTGAGAGTGCTGTCAAGTGGGGGGAGGGCATCTCTGCTTTTTTCCCGGTGTCTGCTGGGGTGAGACCGGGATGTGTCCTGGCCCCAGCCCTTTTCAATACTTGTATGGACTGGATACTTGGTCGTACCTTGAACCGTAATTCTTGTGGGGCATCAATTGGTAATTTCAAGGTCACAGACCTTGACTTTGCCGATGATGCAGTGATTCTAGCGGAGACATTAGAAGCCCTGGAAGTAGCTTTCGAGGCACTGCATGAGGAGGCGAAGCCGTTGGGATTCGCGGTCAACTGGACCAAGACCAAGGTTCAGGAATTTGGGGACTTTTTGGATGTCGATGTTCAGTCTGTGCATGCCTGTGGCGAGAACATTGAGGTCTTGGATAGCTTCACTTATCTTGGTAGTGTAGTGTAGAGTGACGGAGGTTCCGACCGGGAAGTCACTCGACGACTCGGACTGGCCGACGGCGTTATGGACTCACTCAATAGGAGTATTTGGCGTTGTCGGTATTTGACTAGGAGAACTAGGATCAGGCTCTTCAGAGCACTGGGGATCCCGGTCTTACTCTATGGGTGTGAGACCTGGACACTGAACAGTGCTCTGAAAGCCCGTCTTAACTCCTTCGGTACTAAGTGTCTTCGCAGAATCATGGGGTATACCTGGAGGGACCATGTGTCCAATCAGAGGATACTGCATGAGACTGATTCAAGACCTATTACCAGTCTGTTGTCAGTTACCAGCGCCAACTTCAGCTCTATGGACATGTGGCTCGTTTCCCTGAGGAAGATCCGGCTCATAGGGTCATCTCCGAGAGGGTTGACCCAGGCTGGAGAAGACTAAGAGGAAGGCCACGGAACTCATGGCTGAAGCAAGTTGATCAGATCTGCCAAGATGTACTAGGTGTGCGAAGGAATGCTGCATGGAGGCTCGCTCAGAGGGACCCCAGGAGGTGGAGGCAAAGGTTGGGCGCGGCAAAGCGCAGCCATGCGTATGCCCCCTTATGATGATGATTCTATTTTGTTTTTAGTTGAAAACGACTTTTTGCAATGTCATTTTTAATTACTATATCTATGTGCATTTAATATTTCAATAATCTTGAGATTCATCAAAGGCAAACTGCAAATGTTTTCATTAAATCTTAACAGAAGAAAAAAAAAATTGAATCAGTAAAATTATAGGATTTGCTAGAATGTTTTTCATATGGACCTAATGAGTGTAGTCATTGGGAACCACCCTGTATACCACTGACAGTTATCTCCTGAGATTAAATGCATAATATGTAGTTCTCTAGTTCAGTTAACTAGATTATTGTGACTCCATGCCCCTCCACTGTTGCAAGGATTTATTTGTGAGACAGACATATAAAAAGAGGTAGTACTTATTCAATATTCAATACTTTCCTATGTACCTAGAACAATATCGTAGCCCACAGGCTGAGGACCAGTACTTACATTATACACAGTTGTTTTATATACCCACTCATAATATACTTTAGAGCTGCTTATATACGCATCACCTCCCCTTTACCGTGTGGAGTATTTGCGTCTTAAGTTTACTTAGTATTATATCTTTATTACAGGATGCATAATACTTTAGCTTTATTACAGGGTAAGTAGTATTTTGTCGTTGTTACAGCATAAATAGTATTTCCTTTTTTACGGGATACATGGGATTTTATCTTTGTTACAGGATGCATAGTATTCTACCTTTATTACAGCTTACATATAACACTCATGCATACTATAAATGAAGTCCTCATAAGCGGTAACGGACAATGATATTCATATTCTTGGCCATGTGTAACAACTATGCATATCTCTCTATTTTAATCTCCACGCTTCCACTGGTGCTTCTCTCTACACAGATTAGAAATACTGGAAGCTCTTCTTCCTCTCATTTTGGTGAGTTCTTACGAATTTAGTGCTTCTATAATCTAACCTGATATAATACTGTGCTGTATATTCCCTTTCGCGAAAGTGCTATGAAACAATTAGTTAGAAATACTGGACACGTTTCTTCCTCTCAGTTTGGTGAGTTCTTACGAATTCAGTGCTTCTACAATCTAACCTGATATAATACTGTGCTGTATATTCCCTTTCGCGAAAGAGTTAATCAAGCTATATGTTTGAACCTTCCAGAAAAGTTTTGGGTGCGAGACATTTCTAATACTGTAATTGGGGGATTGTGTAAACATGAGGCCTTAGCATCTGGTACATCACGTGACACGCAAACACAATAATTACATTATAGGTGCAAACATATTTCTTGTGAGAATGTGTGTCTTGCAGTGGCAAAATTTGACTATTTTGTGAATATCAATAACTTCAAGGGTGACGGTGGATACAGCATTAAAGATCATAACCTGTGTATATGGTATATTTTCTCAATTACTAGTTATAATCTCAGTAATGTATACTCTGCGTTTTATTCTCATCTGGTTTATGAATTCTTTTTTTGCCTCTTTGAATCTATTGAAGGCTCCAAAATAACAAATAGTGAATTTAGACAAAGTCAGGAAGAGGTAGTCTGTTTAGACTTTGCAAGGTAAATGAATCTGAATTTAATACCATCAACCCCACATCATGAAGTCTGCCTAGGAGTAACCGGGTATCAGGCTAGTACCTAGGAGTAACTGGGTATCGGGCTAGAACAGTGGTTCCAAACTGGGGCCATGTAGCTGAGGATATGTAAAACCAAAGGAGTTTAGTGGGTAGACTGCCAATGGAGGATACGTACAAGTTCAATATAGGTTTGTGCAATGTTTGTGCTAGACACATGAGTAATATATCCATTTTTTGTTTGTGGAATTACTTTATTTTGTCTGATTATGTGCTTCTGACATAAACCAGGACACTGGGGAGTATTAGTGTAATAAATAATTCCATCTTAACAAACTTCTAAGGTTTCCTAAGCTATATTTTATTTTGTTTCTAGTTTTTTTAATTACTATATTTATGTGCATTGTTTCTTCTTCAGTATCATTTCAATAATCATGAGATTCATCAAAGGCAAATTGCAAATGTTTTCATTAAATCTTATCACAAGAAAAAGTAAAGTGAATCAGTAAAATTATAGGATTTGCTAGAATGTTTTTCATGTGAACTTAATGAGTGTAGTCATTGGGAACCACTGGGCTAGAGCATATATACACCTAGTATACCCCTAACTGGCAGTTATCTCCAGAGATTAAATGCATGTGTAGTTCTCTAGTTCAGTTAACTAGAGTATTGTGACTCCATGCCCCTCCACTGTTGCAAGGATTCTTTTGTAAGACAGACATAAAAAGTAGTAGTCCTTTTCAATATTTTCAACTTTCCTATGTACCTAGGCCAATATCGTAGCCCACAGGCTGGGGACCAGTACTTACATTATACACAATTGTTTCATATACCTGCTCATGATATACTTTAGAGCTGCCTATATACGCATCACCTCCCCTTTACTGTGTGGAGTATTTGCGTCAGGGTTGAAAGTCTACGTCATAACTTTATTTAGTATTTTATCTTTATTACAGGATGCATAATACTTTAGCTTTTTTAAAGGGTATGTAGCATTTTGTCGGTATCACAATATACATAGTATTTCCCCTTTTTTTACTGGATACATGGGGTTTTATCTTTGTTACAAGATGCATAGTATTTTACCTTTAGTATAGCATAAATATAACACTCATGCATGCTATAAATGAAATCCTTATAACCGCTAAAGGACAATGATATTAATATTGTTGGTCATGTGTAACGACTATGCATTTCTCTATTTCAATCCCCACGCTTTCAATGGTGCTTCTCTCTACACAGGTTCAACAAGCGTTAGAAATACTGGACTACCCCCATTTTGTTACAGGATGCATAGTATTTTACCTTTATTACAGCATACATATAACACTCATGCATACTATAAATGAAGTCCTTATAACCGGTAACGGATAATGATATTCATATTGTTGGTCATGTGTAAAGACTATGCATATCTCATATTTCAATCTCCACGCTTCCAATGGTGTTTCTCTCAGTTACTGCATTACTCTCAACACAGATTCAACACAGGATAGAAATGCTAGACGCTTTTCTTCCTCTCATTTTGGTGAGTTCTTACGGATTCAGTGCTTCTACAATCTAACCTGGATATAATGATGTGCTATATGAAAGAAGAAAGCAGTTCAGGATATTCCTTTTTGCGAAAGTGCTATGTAACAATTAGGAGAAAAACTGGAGTTAATCTAGCTATATGTTTGAACCAACAGTGGACAACGATCCCCATTTCGTGGTCCACGTGGACGGACTGCACTTGCCCCTTTGCTTCGATCTCCATGCCTCTGATGGGGCTTCTCTTAGTCTTATTCAGGACGCGGAATCTGGTGAGTCACTAGTTTTTGTACAAATTTACCTTAGATTTCGAGTGTGAAATTTAGACGCCAAGCTGTGTTTCCTATATGTTCCTTCATCTTTTGTGAGAGTGACAAAAGAGGGAGAAGTTTCGAAATCCTCATCCAGGAGGATTTCGAAATTGTTATGTCACCTTTCAGTAATCCTAGCCTGTGTGTAGTATCTCTATGAGTCCCTTGTTTAACCACTAATACACCTGTCTCAAATATCTTTAATTGGCCCCTAATGCCAGATTGCAACTTTACTGAAAGATGTATTTAATTCTCCATAAAGGAGACCAACCCGACTACAGCTTTTTATTTATTGATTTAAAAATCAGGAAATAAATAAGACTGCATCTATTTTGGTGTCGAAATAACAATTTTAATAAAAAAAACAAAGAAGACCGGTTCTTAGAGTTTAGATATCAAGACATTTTATTCTTTTATTATTGAACATTATTTCGCTAAATACAACAACCTAAATTTTTACTTTGGACATTATAGTAGAATTTTGGGGAAGTGATGCAGAAAAAAACACATTGAACTATTTTACGAATAATATTGGAATTAGCCTAAGTAATCCAAATCAAACCATTAGATTTTCAGTTCTAGTCAAAAGGGATTTATTTCCCAAAATTTTAGAATAGATATTGAAATATCTTGTTGTTCTTGCTTTGATGAAATGTTTTCCCTTATTACGTGAATCCGAGTATGGTTTTATTGTATTCTGGAATGCATTCTGAACTTGAGATAAAATTCAGTTTGAGTTGACGTTAGAATTTTCATATTTCTCCATGGTCCCCCAAAAGGTATCCCGTGGCCCCCCTGTCCTAAATGGACAGAGCGGCAAGTAGAAATATGGTTCAAACATTAGTCTGGGTTTAAATAATAGTCAATTTTCCTTTGCAATCATGAAATGTCTCAGACATTTTAGAAATCTCTTAACATACAGGCCAAAATTGTTTCGTCCAACACGTATTCTCGTGTTATTTTGAATGCCTGCAAATTCAATATACATTAATAGGTAGACATATGTAATATAACTCTTACCAATTTTACAAGGCATAAAGGTGAATGGCCGGGTGTCAGCAGCGAAGCATAACCCCAGCCTGACGTATTTCACAACACTGTTCCTGAGTCTTGGTCACCTCAACGTAACTGTTACGCATGATTTTATTCACATTGACTGTCTCAGTGACGACGGAACGCAGACGGTAAGTCCACCTCTGGATTGGATATTACTTGAACGGAAATGAGATGTAAGAATATATTTATATGGTAACTACTGTTTGTTTAATCTCAGAAAAAAATAAATAAATAAATAAAAATTAGGCAACTAATCTCGGCCTATTTTTTCCAATCAGCAGACGCATAATACTAAAGTTCCATATGTTTTGTATTTTCAAATCTATACATATCTATATATGTTTGCATTGAAATTTGATGTTTTCACCTTTTTATTAAATTTTCTAATATTAAATTTTCTAATAAGAGCCTTGGCACATCGGAATTCTCTACAGGGTTTTCTTTTACTTTTTTTACGGAGTAATAACACTAACCTGCCACTCTATTCTTGCGATCTGTAGGTACGCTCTGTCTCGCGGCCAGCTCGTAATAAAGGGGCCAAGAGGCAGTCACGAGGTCGTGGAGGTGTCCGCAGAGGTCGTAGAGTCAATCAGCGCCAAACTCGCTCTGCTGATGAGGAGTCGTTAGCGGATTCGTGTGATCTGAGGACTTCATGGGAGGACTTAAGAGAAATGAAGTAAGGGTTTTCGAAGAGGTGAAGTAGGGTTAAGAAAGAGGACTGGCGTGAGCGACTTACGAGCAATGAAGTAAGGGATTTTAAAGGGCAGCGGAAAGGCAAGATCTTCCAAATAAAAATTCCAAGGGAATAATAAAACACGATTTTAGTAATGAAAAAAAACAATTCCTATTATATAATTTTTTTCAATCATACACTTAATATGCAGACTCAAAGAAAAATAATTAGGCCCTTTACCAAACATACCTATACAGAGTTTTTATCATGATTAAAATAGAGAAAGAATTAAAGAAGGAAAGAACAAGACACCGTACAGAGGAAAGGACGATCACACCAAAAGACGTTAAAAAGTACCTTCCCCTCCTCTATATTGCGCCCTCCCTTTTCTATGCTCCTTAGCAAAGACATTATCACTACTCTTTGCTCTGGGAACCACTCAGACTTTATCCAGAGGGGCACTATCTGTTAATACAAGTGTGTGGTTTCTCCAAAGTTCTCTTTAGAACCCACACTAAAATATATATATTCATAAAGGTTACTTATGATCTAATTTCACCCTTAGAGGTAACTGAGAGAAGGGGATAATATCAAACCACTTAATAAGTTTACATTTGTTGTTGATATATTGAGTTAAAGATCATTACATTTCTACAGTAAAATAAACTTTCATCTAAAAAAAAATGTCCCCAATGGTTGTATTCCAACCTGTCACTTTTATATTTCTGGTTCTTCTCAGGTGTCTTCTTTCCTTGTCTCATCACTGTCTGGGCTCTTTCATTCTGTTTCACAATTCCCAGGACGCTAAATCACAACTTCAGAAGAACCCAACAAACCATACAAACATCAAAACAAAACAAAACAAAGAAACAAAAAAAAAAACCCACTCTCTTTGAATGGGTTTTAAATCTTATAAACAAGATGAGACACATCGGATGGTGTTATCAAGAGCATGTGCCATGTGCCAGCCTCGAGCTCAGATATTTCACGATAATCAAATACTCTTTCAGGCTGCTGTATGGCACTCCTGCTATGATCTCGATCTCTCTCTCTATGATTATATCTATGTTTTCAGGATTTCAGCACTGTAATATACTTTGAATTTTAAAGTCTACTCAGATCACATATATTACACTTATACGGTCCTTCTTAATCTATACATGCTAATTTTCAGAACTTAAATGATCCGCCATTAACAAAATAATATATATGGTTTTCTTTACAAAAATATCAATTATACAACCTTAATATAATCTACTATTGAAATATAATAGCGTACCCTTTAAATAAAGAGAATGTATGGTGGGGGGGGGGTAACAAAAAAGCTTATTATCTTTGTAGGGTAGACTATCATATTTTACAATTTTCTTATCTTAGAAAAAATATAATATTGGAATATATATAATTTTCATGTAAAACTATTAAAATAAAATATCATCTTTCTAGGAAAATAATAAAGGAAACCTTTTCTAAATAATTAGCTAAAAAACTGAGGTATACTTAAATAATATATATGCATAAAGACTAGTGAGGTGTATACAGGGGGGTTTCTAGACGAATTTTGGGTCCTTCTAAATTCACATCCCTTGTGCTCGTTACACCTCCAGATACGACGACGTGATCCTGACCCGCGAAGGGCGCAAGAAATTCAACATCGTCTTGGGCGGCGGCGACACCCACTTCGTCATCGTCCGCTCCAGGAACAAGCGCCACCAGCAGTTCCTCGGATTCTACGTGAAGGAATCCGGAATGCTGTCAGCCGGCACGGGGGGGGTCATTGGTAAGGGGGAAGGGAAGAGGGGGAGGGAGGAGAGGGGAAAGTAACTATGTGTACATATATATGTATATATATCTGTGTGTGTGTGTGTGATTGTGTGTGTGTGTGTGTGTATGTGTGTGTGTGTGTGTGTGTGTGTATGTGTGTGTATTTTATATAAATACATACACATATATATATATATATTTACATATACATATATACATATATATATATCTCTCTCTCCTCTTCCCCCCCCCTCTTCTCTCTCTCGTCTCTCTCTCGGGTCACGTCTCTCTCTCCCTCTCGGCCTCTGTCTCTCTCGCTCCGCTCTCATCTCCTCCCAGCTCCCCATCTCCCCCCTCATACACATATACATATGCAGATACATATATGGATATACATATATATATATGCATATGTAGATATATACATACATGTACATATATA